GTAAACAACATGTAAACAACTGGCAAACATCATGTAAACAAGTAAACAACACGTAAACAACTAGTAAACACTTGGCAAACAATATGTTAACGAGTAAACAACGTGTAAACAAACGTTAACAGGTAAACAACATGTAAACAACTGGCAAACATCATGTAAACAAGTAAACAACATGTAAACAACTAGTAAACAGTCAGTAAACAACATGTAAACAAGCAGACAACTTGTAAGCAACATGTAAACAAGTAACCAACACGAAAACAACTAGCAAACAAGTGGTAAACAACATTTAGACGAGTAAGCAACTTGAAACAACTAGTCAACAACATGTATACAAGTAAATTAAATGTCAATGGGTAAGAAAAGCCTGACCCCTACCGCCTTCTAGCGGTCAATCGAAAGGTATTGTAAACGTGTACATACATACAATAACTAAACGTCCCTGTAGAAGTACAAAAAAAGTTCAAATTCATGAGTATGGTATTTCTGAATCGTCCTTTTCATCTCACTGCTCTTTCTGAAAGAATTCTGTAGGTAATCAGCATCTCTTGATTGTGTCGCTTCTGGCATGCTTCTGCCTCAGAAAGGCTGGACATCTTCATGTCTTACAAGTTAGCGCCTTCCTTTCTTCCCTGTGCATGAATATATGCACTATTTAAGCAATGAAATCTTCTAAACCAATCATGCAGAGCGTTCCCATGTCAAATTTTGCTACAGACAAGTTAGAAGTGCAAACAGGGGTCTCGCAATGACCAGAGCCCACATCCGTAACGATCCAAGGACTGCACGCTTCCACTGCAGAAAATGCAATTGTATCTGTAAGCTTATGCTTGTACCAATTTATTGGCGAGTATGTATGACAATATAATACTTAATAAAATACATAATCAATCATATTCATAGACGTTCCTTTGAGAACTATTCAAGAGTTGCATTCGACGGAGCATGGTGCTCAGTCGGGAGAATGTGAATATATGTGCACAAGAGTAGCACAGCCCAGTTATTTTCAATCAGGTTAGTTAAATGAGTATTCTCAGTGCTTAGCCTTCATCTCGAGAGCATGTTGCATTGCCCAGATAGCTAATGGTCGCATATAACCAATGGCTCGATAATGCTTCTCCTCGTATATTGCTTCGGGTGTTTGGTACTGAAGCCCTGCTCGATTCCAGCACGTTTCGTAAATTCCCCGAGCCGTATCGAAGCCGTTACGTAGCTTATCCTGTAAATATTATTCTTCACTCCAAGACAGCAAACAACAACAACCACACTACATCGCTGGTTGCATACAACCGAGCAAGGCAACTGTCTGTAAAATGTGGAAATTGACGCGTAGCAAGCTAACACATATTTAGTGATCAAACAATCTGAATACACTGGAACATGTTGTTCAGGGTATTTCTACTAGCTACGGCAAACGCTCTTCACAGACGAACCTTTGCTATCATAAATGAAGCGACACTGTATCCCGTTCCAGTCCATACTTCCTCGCCTTGCATAGTCGAATCAACCTCGCCATTTTTGCTAAATTATTCAGTATAATGACGAACAGGCTGCATGATATGGGGATGCAACCTTATGCAAATTGGAGTTCGTGCAAGTATTAGCGTATTACAGATGCGTACAGTACATGCCGTGTTGCAGTAACACGGCACAATGCAACAGCACGAGTTTAGCACGAGTAACCACTCCCGACATCTGTTACGAACGGAACAAAAACTCACAACATTCCATTAACAGGTCCCATGTTTCCCGATGCAAACCTTTTGACATTGTGTGAGTAGATAATCTCCAAGGTAGACAAGACCTGAAAGAATTCAAGTGATTATTAATATGTACGTCAACGATTTCCTCGTTGACTGTCATATATAAACAGGTAGGTACATAATGTAGGAGAATCAACACCGTCCATAAAGCGAGATGTGCAGACCTCGAAGACATGCATGTTGAGAGACAAGCCTCCGTGCACAATAAAAAGATCAAAACTACAACTTATAATTGGGTAATTGTTTATTTATTGGGATGTGAAATGGGAAAGAGTAGCTCACCGCCGCTCCTGAGCAATTTTTGCCTCCTCTGCAGGTCCCAATGGATCCCATTGAAAAGGACATCATTATTCCACAAAGTGGCCAGATACCTCAGTGACAGATGGTGTAATGAGATGCCCGCTAGGTCAGTATCAAGTTATATTCCCTTTTGAACAGGCAGTGGTGGTTAGCAACCGGAAGTTGGACCCTGTCCATATAATGATGAGGTTCGGCTGCTGCTTGGAGTAAATCCTGCTTCCATTTTCTTTGGCTTCTCAGAACCTGGAAGTATTCTCAAAATTTGGAGGTTGTGCCTTTGCTGCACTGCGGGAATTTGCTGACGAATGTTGCCCACGTAATAGCCTTTTTCGGCCCTTCACAGTTTTTGTCTCTGCTGCGCTTCTCCGGTTCGATTGAGCAGTAGTGCTTGTGCAGCTTACAATGGACTGTAAGCAGTTGTTATCTGACCACTCTCCACATGACTGTGTTTGAAACTCTCAGCGTTCTGGTCACCTTTCTCAAGCAACTTGGGTATTGCTGTCGATCCGCTTCTTCATGCTTTTCCTAAGAATCAAGATGGCAGAACTTGCGGGATGGCTGCAATGGAACCTACCTTTATGGTCTTCTCTAAAGTGCGCAGTAGGCCGCGGAGCGGTTACCGGCTTCGAAGAAAGGCGATGTTTATTACCGGATGTCCGACCTAGCTGTGCGAAAGATTAGGCACTCTGTTGAAGTTTAGGCGCACCATGAGATGCAGGCCGAACGGTAAGCCGTGGAATTTGGCATGGTCATTGACAAGAGGATAGAGGATTGAAAGGTCTGCCAATCTCGGAAGAAAGCTATAAACACCTACAGAATTCAAGCTCAAAATGCAAGTGCAATATTTATGGGACACCTTGTATTGTTATTAAACACATTGTCAAGCCGGAGCCTTTTTGAAACTCTAAATTTATTACATTTTCGGAGATTCCTCGGTGTAATCATAATTATGAGGGGGTAAGATCTGATTTGCGAAACTTCTGCGAAACAATGGTGCCGACCTGTGCTTCAGAAATGAGATCCTCTCCTTCCATCATTGTCTGGAACCATACGCCGCATAACTGATCTGCCATTATTAAACTTTGGTTTGGCGAAAACTCGTCGAAGTTGAAGTACCTCAAAATGAATATGTGGCGACATGTACTTATAATACTACCGCTTACGAAAAAATGCTTGAAACAAGGAAAGTTTGAAGACCCTACTTTCCGTTCCAAAGTTTTTTCACGAACGCATTTTTCGCTTTATCCAGCAGATCCTCGAAGCGTTGTTCATCGTCCTCATGACCGAGTTTCTTCGCCATCGATAAGATGGAACTCAGTGCTGCCAACCAAAGAGAACCACAGTAGGCACTAAATTGGCACTCAGCACTATTTTAAAAGTAGCTTTTTTGTGCTAGTGTACAGTTCCGCTTTAGTAGCCTGGCCACTATAGTTGTGGACTTGCCAGAAAAGATGGCCGCTAAGTGCCTAGGAAGGGCTTCCGCATAACGCCTCAAGGATCGAGTTTTCGACCCCTTCAAAAGATATTTTTAAAATTCTAACAGCATTTCGAAAAGTTCTTCTGTACTTCAGCCTGTTACAGCGTTCGTATTTCGTGATCATATACGAGGAGGAGGCAAAAAGGACATCTTGATCAGTCGCAATTTGGGGACTTGTTCTTCGCAAAGGGTTGCCGTCATTGACGGAAGTATTACTACAGCAAAATATTCCCCAGATGTCCTCCTATAGTAGACGCAAGCTCTCCATCACTGCCTTCACCACTCTTCAAAACAGGCGTCATCGGTCATCGTCATCGTGCTCATGGAGACCTACCACTTGCTCCGCCTTAGGCGCTTGCATGATTTCTTGAAAGATTGGCTGTTGGATAGTTTCCTAGAGTTTAGCTCTGACTGAGCAGAACCCCTCCAACCAGCCTTCGAGAAAAACATCACAATGGTACACGATCCACTGAGCTCAAAGGATGAAAGAAGGAAGGAACCATGAGAAACGGCCCAGAACCCGAGAAATGGGACCCCTTCCTTGCCCGTTGATTTGCGCATTGATGCGACTCTTCAACACTACGCTCTCTCTGCTATCTAATCACTCGCCACGTATAGACCTGCGGCGAGTGATTCAGGC